GTTATCGAACGGACACTTCTTCCTTGAAAAGGGTCAAACCGACCGGGCGAATTCCATAATGTGATGCATGACCTGGTCCAAACTGAGCAAGAAAGCGAAAAAGCTCTCTCAATATTGCCGTACTGGTGGTGAAAGGTATAGGAATGACTTCTAGAAAGCGTCGAAAATCACTGGATATGAGATTCCTCGAACAGATTCGCGAATCTGATGTGGAGCCGATTTCATGATGAATCCGAACGAGGGCAAATAGCTCTTGAGGAGCGACTTTATGGCTTCCTCACTGCGGGCAGGCACGGATGAGCCTGCCCAAGTCCCCGCTGACCCTGGTCGAAAAAGGGTGTTGGCGAGAGCTTTCATTCAATTCATTTCTGTATATCCCTCATGCAGCTTTTCAGAACAGATGGCTGAATGATAGTGCAACGACGAGGCGGCTTCCAAAGAGCAGGCAGGCTTGCTGCGAAGTCGTTGCGCACATGGACGTATCTTACAATTGTGTGGGATCAGCCAGGTGCATGGTCCAGGATTTGATGGAGGCATCGTCTTCAGCTATTGCGTGGGTAACCTCTTAGACAGCGGCCGCTAAACCACTCACGTTGTCGGCTGAGATGACGTTGACGTCTCTGGCAATACCGGCGATGGTTACGTCTTCTTCCCGCTAAGATTGCGCGGACGCTTCACACCTAAGATGAGAAAAGGCGTCAGCTTGTCCGAGTTTGTTGGTGATCTTGTAGTCAATGTCAGAGGAGTGGTAAGCCTTCAGCGTTGCATAAGGCTCGCGGAGAGGGCAGTAACTTCTTTCCCAGACCCAAATATCGTCCGATAGTGAGTGGGTGGAGCGGCGTGTATTTGTGACCATGAAAATTCCAGGAGACGCAAAACCTCCTCCATCCGACCGTAGTTCTTCCCAGCCTTAGTGAGAGAGCGCCTGGTGTGGTAGGAAACTCTCTGTTCCGTCTTGAAAGAGGTTTCGGGCACTATTGAACTATTCCTACCCCAAAAACTTAAAAGTAATTTTTCGCTGAAACGTTGCTAGGTGTAATTCGATGTCCTGATCACGAATATCACATTCGTTTCGAGCGCTGGCGTCATTTGGCGCCATTATGCGCCAATTTGGCGCCCACCACTTTTTTCACCAAAGTCGATGAAAACTTGCATATGGGGGTTTGAGGTCCTGATTACGAATCCAACATTTATTTTTGGCGCTGGCGCCATTTGGCGCCATTACGCGCCAATTTGGCGCCATATTGGCGCATAATGGCGCCAAATGACGCCAGCGCTCGAAACGGATGTGATATTCGTGATCAGCGCATCGAATTACATCTATAGGCAACGTTTCAGCGAAAAAATTTTTTTGAGTTTTTGGGGTAGGAATAGTTTAAATAGTGCTCCGAACCCATAGTCCGAAGCGTGACCGCAAGTAACCGTAAGTCTAAGTCGCCTATAAGTAAGACAGCCACAACCTTATTCGTGCGCGACCTACTGCGAAATTGGAAATCGTTTCCAAAATAGAAAAGCGCCTCCCTTACCTCTTGCGCCCGTCGGAGAAATTCCTCCTTGTGCAATTGTTGTGAACAGTTTCGGGCGACGCGAATAACACACACTTCAAGAGATCTCACCAGTGAGGTCGTTCAGGACGTGGCGCGCTTTTTGAAAACGGTTTTTTGCATGATGTGGGGTCACGAGCCTAGAGTACCAAACTGACGTTCATTTTTTCTGAACGCCTCTGGGAATACCAAAAAAGGAGTGAAAAAGATGTCTGTATAAACCGATCGTTTTTGAGCCTCTATGGGCTCTAAATCACTTGCAACTTTGACCAGTCGCTGAATGGAGGGTCCTTATAAAGGTACTATAGGAATCGAGGAGGAAAGTAGTCCTAAATGGGGTCTTACTTGAGGCACGTGATTGAGAATGAGCGGCTCTGAGCGGCTCGTCGGGATCGTTTCTTCAACGATCGAAGCGGTGTTGAGTCACATCCCTTCGATCGCTGAAGGATCGGATGGCCCAGTGGATAGAAACACGTGCGGAGGATTCTCAATTGGACAGTGGAGGTGAGGGTTGATGGTTCGACTCCTCTCGGCTTGAGCGTTTCTGCATTTTTTATTTTTTCAGTTGTTGTCGCTTCCGTATATGTCTGTTTATGAATTTTACTTGGATATCTGCTATTAATATTCACATTCTAAATAGTTATACCCCATAGTTCGGTGCTATTCAACAATTTCGATTTTCACATAACATTAAGCAAGAACTTGTCTGAAAGTTGAGCTTATATGTTATTCAGTGCCCTGATCACGACTATGGCATTTGCTTTCAGCTGTAGTGCCATTTATCCCCAATTTGGAGCCAAGTCTTTCTCCCACTGGAGTCGCTATGTACATTCGTTTGAGGGACTTTCAGGGCCATTCTGACACCAGATTGCGTTGACGCCAAGAATAAGTGTCAGAATCGTGATCAGGACCATCGATTACCCCTATAGGCAAGCTTTCAGCCAAAAAAATTTTTTTGACTTTCTTGAGGTTGTGTATTGGGTTATGCTCGAAAGTCACTCTGTTGAAGTCGTACTTTTCCAGGTTACCGGAGCCCCATTCATTGGTACGGAGACATAAAACTAACAACAACGATAAACTCATCAAAAGAAAAGAAAACGAAACGGTTATCATTCTTCCAGGTGCATTTGAAAAAGTGAAGGAAATCGGATGAGTCTCTTGGAAGGGGAGGACGACATCTTCGTTGAGCAAGCAGTCGCTAGGGGTCGACAAATGTCCAGGATGGTTTTTCACTTGTTCTGCGGCCACCCATGCCCATTCCAAGCATGGACCTTATGAGCACCGAATCCGCGATACGGCTGCCTCGCGGCCCACCACGTCATCGTTACGTCATCACCGCTCCAAAGGTGTGAGACTTCGGTCATTGTTGCCGACCAAATGGTCTATCACAACTCAAGAAAGTCAAAAAAATTTTTGGCTGAAAGTTGCCTATAGGGGTAATCGATGGTCCTGATCACGATTCTGACACTTATTCTTGGCGTCGACGCAATCTGGTGCCAGAATGGCCCTGAAAGTCCCTCAAATGAATGTACATAGCGAGTCCAGTGGGAGAAAGACTTGGCTCCAAATTGGGGATAAATGGCACTAGAGCTGAAAGTAAATGCCATAGTCGTGATCAGGGCACTAATAACATATAAGCTCAACTTTCAGACAAGTTCTTGCTTAATGGTATGTGAAATCGAAATTGCTGAATAGCACCGACTACGGGCTATAACTATTTAGGATGTGCCTATAAATGGCAGATATCCGAGTAAAATTCATTAACAGACATATATGGAAGCGACAACAACGGAAAATAAAAAATGCAAAAACGCGCAAGCCGAGAGGAGTCGAACCATCAACCCTCACCCCCACTGTCCGATTGAGAATCCTCCACGCTATCCACTAGGCCATCCGATCGTTGTGGCTAACACCGCTTCGATCGTTGAAGAAACGATCCCGACGAGCCGCTCAGAGCCGCTCATTCTCAATCACGTGCCTCAAGTAAGACCCCATTTAGGACTACTTTTCCTCGATTCCCATAGTACCTTTATAAGGCCGCGTTCATAGCTTGCGTTCGTGAAGAAATGCGGAAAATGCAGGTGCGGAAAGTGCAGAAGTGCGGAATCTGCAGAAAAGCAATAGATACGTATCGACTTGAAGAAATGCAGAAATGCCGAAACTGCAGACGTGCGGAAAGTGCAGAAATGACGAAAAGCATTACATACGTATCGATTTGAAGAAATGCAGAAATGCCGAAAGTGAAGAAATGCGGAATCTGCAGAAATGCCGAAAGTGAAGAAGTGCGGTGCGGAATCTGCAGAAAAGCAATAGATACTTATCGACTTGAAGAAATGCAGAAATGCCGAAAGTGAAGAAGTGCGGAATCTGCAGAAATGCCGAAAGTGTGGAAAATCGATACGTATCGGTTGCTTTTCTGCACATTCCGCACTTCTGCACTTTCCGCACTTCTGCATTTTCCGCATTTCTGCATTTCTACGCGGCCTAAGGACCCTCCATTCAGCGACTGATCAAAGTTGCAAGTGATTTAGAGCCCATAGAGGCTCAAAAACGATCGGTTTATACAGACATCTTTTTCACTCCTTTTTTGGTATTCCCAGAGGCGTTCAGAAAAAATGAACGTCAGTTTGGTACTCTAGGCTCGTGACCCCGCATCATGCAAAAAAACCGTTTTCAAAAAGCGCGCCACGTCCTGAACGACCTCCCTGGTCACAGTCGATCTGGAAGACACTACGTAGCTCACCTGACTCTTATCAGTAGACGACTGTATCGATAGAGCTCTTTGTGCGCGTTGATGATGAGGAGCTCTTTGGAGTCATCGTTATCATTATTCTCCTGTCGTTTCCTTTTAGATTTTATCGTACCTTTTAAGATTCTTCAACTGACTTCAGGGTTTTTACGGGGCTTCGATTCCCAGTTTTCTTCACTCTTTCGTGACTCGTGAATCGCTTTCGTTATAATTTTAGACCCTGTGGCAAGCAACCTAATTACCGTCGATAAGGTGACCTGCACATTGAATGGTCTCGCCATTGCACCCATGGCTTCGTCTCTACATCTTTGGCAAGAAATTTGGTCAACCACACCTGCGTTATTCCCCCTGCCGCTTATCGAGAAAACTGTGTTTTCTCAGAGTTCGGTTACAAAGCGCAACCGGACCCTGAAAAAACTTTTTCCACAAGCTTCCGTCACCGGGCCGGCTGCCATCTGCTCCAGTCTCCTTTGAAGGTATATTATTTCGTCCCTTCCTCCCCCCCCCTACTGTTTCTATTAAACAGTATTAGAATCAGTGGCGCATTTGGATGTGCCGATCAATTCCAGATACTTCTTTTTCTACTTTGAGGTTTGCATTACACTGCTGCCTTCATTTCGTTCCATACATGCGGCGATACTACCGTCTCCGGTGCTCGGTTTCCATTCACTGGAAGAAAATGTGAACGCGTAAGTGGATTCTCTTTTTTTCCATGCATGAAATCACGACTGACCAGTTCATCGTCATGAAGTATCGATTGTTTGATGAATTCGCTCACAAACACTGCTTTTGTTGCTCACAGATATATTCACTCTTTTGAAGGGCCTTCTTACCGATCGACATAAAAGCGTCTACTGTATGCAAGCCGCTGTGGGATGACGGCGAGTTTGGCCTTGGTCTGCGTCGAAAAGAAGCAGGACCTTGGCAAACCAGACGTCAATTCGACGATCGGCTAATTGTTTGTTATTAAAGTTTTGCCTTTTCTTGATTTTTTTTTCTGTTTTTTTCAGATAGCCCTCTCGCACCTACATTTTACATTTGAATCAGTTCAATTACTAATAGGGAGTAGCCTACATCCGAGACAGTATTTCTATCCTTTCAGACCAGCTGACCCGTTCTTTTACCGATTCTCAGCTACTAATAGGGGGAGGGGGAAGATGGTTTGCCTCAGCAGCGTTTCAGCCACTACTTGATCACCGGACCGTGCCGGTATAGGTGTGGGAAAAGGTTATGGGAATGAGGACGCCCATTCTTCTCAGCCACCTTGCAGTTTCCCTTATGAGAGTCCTTGACGCGTCTCGAAAGGGCAACTAAAGATAAAATAACCAATCGTAGGTGATCATTTCGGGAACATTTGATGCTCGGAAAGACGCACTGACTTAATCTTTTGGTAGAAAACGATTTCTACTGTGTTGGAAAAGCGCTCAGATCAGGAGAATCTATGAATCGAAGTATGATGTCGCACACTTCGAGATGCTGGCGTTGGAGCGACCGAATGCTTTCGACGTTTTCATGTCTCCGATCCTTTTCCTTTTCATTCTTAACTCACCACTCCACTTCACCCGTTATTCAAAGACACCACATTTCTCACAGCGGACAGTTACAACAAACCTCATCACACCAGATAATAACGCAAGCGTCTGGCTCATCTCGACAGCCACTTCCGCTTTTCAGCGCGGCTATGATTTTTCAGATTTCGTTTAATGACTCCAGCTCTATGTCCTTTTTGCACTTTTGTTATTTCCAACATATGCCTTAGTTGAAAAGAACTAATATATCGTCACACATAGGACTCCGCCCACTTCTAAGGAAGCTGATGCAAATTTTGAAGTTTTGTGACTTTTTTCAACGCATGAGAGGTTCTGCCCACATCATAGTGCCTCAGCCGCTTTTAAAAAATGACCCCAATCGGCAGACTAGAATCTCAAATGGCAGTATAGGACACTGGTTCAGAACGAATGAAAAGCAAACAAGGAACGTTCCGAGTAACGAGCGAATGCCAACTGAGTTTCCAATCTGGCGATTTCAATAATTATTAAAGGGGGAAAGGTTTTTGGTAGGGAGAAGTGCTTCTCGCAGTAGGCGTTGCTACCTGTTGCAGCCTAAAAAGGCGGAACATTCGAAACATGATCAAAAAGACGTAAATGTGGGCGGGGGTAAGAAAGCGATGTTTAGTGTGTCAGTGTATAAATGCGCTCCTATGAGTTCATTTAATGAATGAATAATGAAGGTGAAAATAACGGTGTTAAAAAGTCACTGTATTCCTTGAGTAGTGAGCAGAGCCCAATGTACATTGGTATGTCAGTCTTTTCCAGTTGGGTGCGAAGTTGCGAAACTGCAGAACGGTCAAAGAAACGGAAGAAAATAAATAAAATTCGAAAATTCAAGACCGCTCCGAAAAGTGGCATGGTTGTCGAGAGGCGCTCGCGGTGGTGTCTAGCGTGATCTTGTCAACTAGTTGTCCACTGTAAAGGTGTGGTGACTTGCTTTTTGTAGTTGTGTATCTGGTCTGGGAAAAAAGGTAAATTTGATTAGAGAACTGCTGAATTAGGTTTGAAAAGTGGCTAATTTGGTTTGAAAAGTGTGGAATTTGGTTTGAAAACTGGTGGATTCGAGATGGTATAGATAACAAAGTTAACAAATAGTTTTCGAAACTTTGATTAAGTCAGATTTCTTCAGGCTGTCGCCACACAAATAGTACTTAACAATACTTCTCCGGAGGACGCTTATCTAGAGCTGCGTTTCGACCATGCTCTTCTGTATAAAGTTAGACCTGGCTATAATCACATGTTCGGTTGCGTCCGTGGAGAACAGAGCGGATGGTGACTCAACTTCTCTATCGACGTTGCACCTTTGTTCCGGGAGTCACTGTGAGCTTCCTTCATAATGATTTGATTTCAGGCAATTCATCGCCTATTTGCACCACACACGATGGCCGTACTTTCTGGGTTGCCGACAAAATTGGCGATTCAGCGAAACGCATCTCATCCAGTGTTTTGACGCCAACAATACGAAACCAATGCGGAGACACCGTGAGATGCGCGAACATCGACGTACACCAAGAATATTTAATTGAGCCTTCGCTCGCCAATCACGTTAGCCGTTGTGAACAAATTGCTTTCGAACGGCTTGCAAAACACTCTAGTAATTCTCATCTGACATGTTAACCGTGTTTCGGCTTCACGCGTCCTCTGAACGTCATCTGAACGTGCAAGCGCCTGAACT